GCGACAGCGCTGCTAAATGCTTTTAGTCCGTTTAATCTCAAACTGTTCGGAATATGTTCTTTGAATCGGACGTAGGCTCTCCTTTCTGTTCTACCAATGTAACTGCTTTGGCAGATACATGTAAATTTGTATACACAGTTGGTGGTAACATGAAAGGGATACCTGTCGACCTTTGATTGTGTCAAAGAACATGTCGTTTTGGACAGGACAATCAATTTAGCTGCAGGATATGTTTTTGTCAGTGCAGTTTTTAGTCTCATATTGATCGACCCTGTGACATTATCGCCTTTGAATTGAAGTTGAATAAAAACAGGTTTTTTATTTACTGTAGTTTCTTTGGGTATTTTATCTTCACGTTTTCCATATTTCTCAATGAATTTCAATGGGTATCCGTTATTTCTTAAACACTTTTTAACATTCATAATTTCCTCTTCTATTGTATCGGCAGTACATATTCTTTCTGTTCTATGAAACAGTGTTTTAACAAGTGCCTTTTTATAATTGATTGGACAAAAGCTGTTGAAATTGAGATAAATACCATTCCATGTGTCTTTCTTATAAACTGAGCGTTGAACTGTGCCATCCTTTCTTCGTTTTATCGCTATATCGAGGAAATGGAACATGTTTTCTTTTTCATGTTCCATAGTGAAATGAATATTTGGATGAGCTTCATTGAAAAACTTTAACAGATTTGTTGCATGTTGTTGATTATTACATAAGATGAATGTATCATCAACATACCTCGAATAATACATCATTTCATCAATCGCTCCTTTGAGCTTGGTTCTTTCGAGGTTAGCCATGAAAATGTCTGCTAGGACGGGGCCTAACGGACTTCCCATTGCTACACCATCGGTTTGTCGGTATATAGTATTGTTGAACTGGAACTGAACATCTTTTGTACACAAGAGTAATAGTCGTTTGAATTCTATTGCTGGTAGAGGTAGGATATCAGGATGTTGACAAATTATGTCTATGGTTTCAAGAAGTGGTATTTTTGTAAACAATGATGTCACATCAAACGAAACCATAAACTTACCAGCAATATTTATGTGATTCATGCTATCAGCAAATACAAATGAATCCTTCAGTGTATAAGTGGCTAATCGTTGACGAAGTGGTTCTAATTTATCTGCCAGCCATCTTGCAACTTTGTGGTATGGTGAATTGATCATTGACATAATAGGTCTAAGAGGATTATCTTGTTTATGTATTTTCGGTAGACCATACATGTGGGGCAAACGAGACCCACGAGGTCGTAGGTTATTGTAAGTAGAATTGTCGATCATTTTCTTTTTCAGTAGGTCTCTGAGTACTTTCGTGATTCTTTTCTCGGTGGAGTCAGTTAAGTCTTTGTTACTTTTTTCCAACTTGAATCTCGTGTGGTCACTCAAAATGGAATTCATCTTAGAGACATAATCTGTTGTGTTCATTAGGACAACACTTGAACCTTTATCTGACCGTAATATCATTATATCATCATTTCGTTTAATATTTCGTAGTGCTGTTAGGTGTTCTTTGGATAAAAGCTTAGATTGCGGTGTGGGTGAGACGAGGTATTGGTTTGCGATATCGACTAGTTTAGATTTAAACCAGCCTTTCTTTTCTTCGCTAACTGGGTGCAACTCTTTAATTTGATCAAATAAATTCTCAAATTGAGTTTCTGTGTCGATTCTTTCGGCATGTGTTTTGGGGATATGAAATTTAAATCCAATAGACAAGGCTTCTGTTTCTATCTGATTTAACTTCACTGTTGACAGATTGTAGAGGGAATTTTCAGGGTTTTCTGGGAAGCCGATATGACAGTCACAAGCTCAAATGGGTGTACGACTACATCCATTTAACATGTCTGTATTAAGTACCATAGACACAGAAGGTGCTCTATAAAAACAAACCCAGAAGCCAATTAGGGATTAGACTTAACAATGTGTGTTCGTGAAATCTGACTCTTGGTAGGTTTTCGTACATAGGTATGAATAACAGCGTCCAACCGCAGTCACAAATTGTCCGGAGGTTGCGTTTGAACACAAATGGTTAAGTTAAAAGCTCACGGCAAATTGTCTTCGGAGGTGGTGACTTCAAGAAGAGTTTGTTAGGGTTGTCTACTTTCCCCATTTACACCGAATATAATCCTAAACCCACCCCTAAGACAGATAGACACTACTAAGATCGAGCCGGAGACAGATATCCATAGGCTCAAGTTACCACACCTGACACGCTCTTAAGCATACCGTGCTACCTAACTTTCCAGATACTGATCTTCCATCTACAGACTACTCATCCTAAAGTGCTTCAGTGTCGTAGTTTTATCGTGCGAAGATAGGGATAAGATGCGTTCCTCTGGACTCCTTAAACAACAATTTCTGGATGAACTTCGTCCTTCGAAATCAATTCCTAATCTGATCGTTGTAAGCGGAGCTGTTGAGTGCATCGACTTCACTTACTTTAGAAGTCCCGTCAGCTCTGATGACTGACAAAACGGCGATACAGACGCAAACAGTTCCATGGGCTTTTCCGATCACCCTACCCATGGTACGTAGGTTGATGTGGCCATAAATTGTCAACTTAAGTGGTTGTAAACGGAATACACCCATTAAGACATTAAATAAGAAAGATTAGCTCAGCGAAGAGTTCTCTTTTCGGCGAATTCATTCCCAAAGCTGTACAATCACAAATATACATACTTAATTTTATAGGATGATAATAAAACTGATAATAAACTTGTTAGACATGGTGACAGTGGGGTTATCATGCTGAGCCATCCTTTCGCAACGATAATTTTCCTATCTATCTTTTGATGAATACTCAAGCCATTAACAATGAAACGATTAGTAAACCTTCCTTGTTTTAATTTTTTTTCTAATACCTTTGTTTATTTAACCTCACTGTCACCATGTCTAACAGAAGTTTATTATCAGTATTATTATCATCCCGTAGAAATAAGTACACATATTTGCGATTGTATAGCTTTGAAAACGAATTCGCCGAAAAGAGAACTCTTCGCTGAACTAATCTTTCTTATTTGAGTGTATTATCACTCTCTGCTTAACTTGACACGCAATTAGCTAGCGGGTATGTCAGACGAAAGCTCAGAGAGATCAAACCAAGAGAAGGTACCAGTCGATGAGGCTAATGACTATCAGACTGATGGGCTATACGCAAGAATGATGATCATTGGTTGAAAATTCTGGCCGATATCGCTTAAAATCGGCCACGGTGTGATAGACATCTTCACCTAACTTCAATATTCTTTCTTTCCCACCTTATAACCAGGATCTTTATATTAAGCTTTTTTGGTAGCCATAGAAAATACTGCCACTTTGTTAATCCAATCTCCCTGTAACTAATATATGCGTCAGGTCCTACGTTGCTTAGGTATCATATCGTCAGAGCGTAAAAACCGTAACTCTACTAATACTTCACACTCAGTTGGTAAGGCTCAAAACATAGTACGCCAAATCGTAATGATCATTTAGCCACACACCTGGGAATCCATTCACAAGAATTAAATTAGACGCTATTCAAGGGAATGAAACTGAAACAAAAAAGCCCACAACTGCCACTAGTCACTTAGTGTTGTTCACTAAACGAAGTTTCATTTTGAGCTGTAGAGTAATATGTTTGTGTCCTATTTCGATTAAAAGAACTGTATAACATAGCTGACCCGCATATGATAGGCGTATTAAAGTAAAACACGAAGGATGGTGAGTTAAATAAACTAGTCATCCTCAGTAGATAATCTACTTCTAAGATATTGGTCGAAAGGCATCTAAAGAGTAAGTATTTCCATAGTATAAACTTACGAATTGTCAGTCTGTGTCGTATACGTTAGAGAACGTAGTGGTTTGGGTTAAAACGCGGAAGATCTTAACCTATATTGCTGGTGCATTTACACTGCCTAGTTACAAACTGATAGTTTCATAAGTTTAACGAACTATATAGGTTGCTTTATGCGTTCTTTCAGTCGAAAGACGTCAAAATTAACCAAGAAACTCTAACTAGGGCCTACACGGTCGATTGTACTCCAGACCGTTGTGCACTGTGCTGTTTTGCGATTCCACGACGTGTATAGAATAAGTTAGTAGACGGTTGCTATAAAAGTAATTATGAAAAGCTTATTAACTAGAGTTATACCGTTATTATGTGTACTGAATGCAACAACCGGAGAAAGATGGTCGTAAAGGTATTTCTTGGTCACTTCGGTAAAGTATAAGTATAAACCTGAAAAGGTCTAAACTAGTCATACAACCCAAGTCAACTGTGTGGTTCTGCACCAAACACAATTAGTCCGTTCAGGCTAACATTTAGTTACACAGGATGAGGAAACAGCGTCATCAAGCAATAAGTCAACCGTCGTTAGCTATCTCTCAACTGATGACTTATGTCCTAATCAGAATACTGAACGCATTTGAGAGAGTAGACCGAGTTGGGAAATCCAAACGCCAAGGTTCTTTCTTTATATGTAGGACCCAAAATATGATCAGTAGAACGAAAAGGCTTACACGCTTTGCTTATTGTAGTAAAACTTTTTGAAGTGGCGATCCGTATCATTTTCTAAACACGATCTGGGGAAAACATTCTGTTGGGGGATTTTTCAGTCCTACCTTCACTCAACAAGGTCACATCACTTGTGTACCGCAAGTTATGCAAATCTATACTTAATGACCAAATATACAACGCAATCGATTGCAAAACACGAAAGACACTAAGCAGCACTATCAAGCAAATATCAGCAAACCTCGATGTTATTCTAAATGATATACAGTGCTTGGACAGCTGCGAAAAATATGCAACGTAACTAGCTCACGTACATCTAGTAGATATATTCAGCACAACCACTGTCTTGGTGCGTAAGCAATTAAAGCAAATATTCGATCAAAAAAGAAAAAAACTTGACATAACGATGTCAAGACTAAGATTTGATGAAACCAACCAACTAGTCAGAAGGATAGTAAAAAGAGGAGAATAAGTTAACATATAACCATGTGTATTTCAATTATTTACTTCATTCTCATACTCTTGACAATAGTCATCAACTCTTCCCTTTTCTTTTTAGCTCTTCTATGTCCACCAATGCGACGCTTGGCGAATTTGAGTGCTCTTTTTTCCTTATCGTTTTTCAACAACTCAAGCATACGCTTCTCAAACGGAGCAAAGCCTACTACCTCACGTATTAGACTTCGTGCAAACTTTGCTTGTTTAGTTAATCGCTAAACAGTTATTGTAGCTTGAAAATCAACTTACCCCTCTTCTATTTGAAGGCTTTTTAGGACGAATATTTTTTGTTTTCTTGAAACCCTTCTCGCGACCAACGCAGACAGGATACTTCCTGATGTTGCTCATTATCACGCAGCCGTTGTGACCTAGACTACTTAAATGCCGCCAGGCACTTGGCAGATCAGGAGAACAAATTTAGTTTCAGTCCTCAGTTATGAAGATAGTAAATAGTTCAAATTATGTCAATTCTTGAGGCCTATTTTCCAGTGTAGATCCAGGTTCTTCTTGAAAGTGTTCATTGATAGGCTTGATAACAATTGTTCGGGTAGGTTGTTCTAGACGTTGACCGATCAGCGAGAAGAACAGAATATTACTCTAAGTTTATCTAACCATGGTTTTACTGTAGCCTCGGAAGTGACTATAATTTAAGGTGGCGACCAGATAAGACACGTCGACACTCAGATCACCATATAAGATACAGAATGCTAATACTTGCTAATACATGTCCACCACTCTTTGTACGATAACATTAGGGGAAAACATTTGAAAATGCCCATCCGTAACTTAGTCTTTAAACAGTAAACGTGCTCGAATGGGATGGTGAAACTAGCTAACTGGATGTGATACTCTGAGGCATCACGCCCGAAACACTTATTCATCGAAGCACTTGAATCCTCAACGAGGTGAGCACAACACTTAAAACTCTTTCGCAGGTGCTGCATCTCAACAAGTCTCGGTTTCAAAGTAAAATGCAAAGCGACCACTTTTTACTAATGGGAATAGGTAATGAATATTGATAACAAAATCACAACGGTGTATGAATGCAAACTGCAACAATGAAGGTTCATGTTCTGAGTTAACATAAACGGACTTCTCAATGTACCTTGTAAATTCGCATCGAATAACAGTTGATCGTAGGCTTCCATCAAAAATTCCATCTAAATCTACAAGCTCTATTTAGGTGGTATGCGGCTTGTTGAATTCCACAATGATGTGACAGCAATCAGCTTTACGTCATGTGCAGAAATGAAATGAGACAAAGTCAACAGCGAGACAATGTGGACTCGAAATAACCACCGTCTCATGTTTCGATTGGATTGTACAGTCATTTATATGCCACAGTTTTGCACCTTTCATATACTTGATTACAATAATAAATATATCTGTCAGAGCAGATGCATGCTATTTTACAGGCAGGATCTACAAACTACAACATTAGTTTGCTTACAGTATGCTTCCCAATAAAAGTAAATAACAATACATTCGCTCAGATATCTTAGGGCGCTATTGATTAGGTTTATGCTTTAGTATTACGCTTAGTGCAGTCTTTAAAATAATTTTCAAAGTGACATCGCGTCCACGTAAACACCAGATCCAATCTCGGCATAATTGTGTTCAAATTATGGTCGTGGAGATTTTTAGAAATTTTCACAGATCGAAATCATGAGTCAGTTGAAGCTAGACCACCATGGGAAACCTGGAAGCACTGGACGGCCGTTTCGTCCTAGTATGGGACTCCTTAGCAGTGCACATCTACGACCCCGCACCTCACGGGACTCGAACCCAGGACCTACCGGTTTCGCGCGCGAGCACTTGACCTTTAGACCACTGAGCCGGCATCCAACGGTGTTAATGTCTAACTTGAACCAATCCACGAAATTGCGCCACCATATACCATTGTCTTCGGTGAGCTGATATCTCACAACAGACCTGGTTGTACTCCACTGGTCGTTATAAAATAGGTTTTTAGAGCGCCTAGTGTGAAATATGAACCTGAGAAAACGTCAAGTTTTTTCCAGGGGTCTGAGGTTCCATAGCTGCACCCTCAGAGCCAGATTCTGAAAAAAGAGAAACAAGGAAGCGGGAAGACACCTGGAAATGGACGTCAAACGATGCTTAACATTTTGTAGTTGAGCCGATAGAGGTATGGTAAATTAGTAGATTCAACTCATACTAGCTCTTGTAATTAAAGACTCTGGATGAGAGAATGAAGTAATAAAGAACAAAAAATTATGATATTTAACAAGGTTCAAATGATTGAAAAAAATTCGAAATCAGAATAAAGAACACTGTTTATTAGAACGAAAGGCGTATCAAGAGAGTAAAGTGTTAAGAAAACCAAACTATACCTTTTATTGTCTGACTTTTTAGTCTTTTTCATCCTATGCCAGCCACACATTCCTAGCGCAAATGTCAAAGTTAGCTTGTTATAGGTTGTCTTAATAGAATAGCTAATCCAGCATAAAGTTTGAGACATGAGTCTGAATCTTTAGCGTAGTAGAACAACCTCAATATCACAGATTGATTGACTTGTTGTTAATCATTAAGAGCCTGATACAAACAAATTGCTATGCCCCACAAACGTGGGTAGATTGAAGTCATCGCCCTCACCATCGATGCTTGCTTGTCAAAAACTCTAGACTCCCTCATTTTGCGATGTTGGGCTCATTTAAGCTCATTTTCAGATGAATTTTATACCTCACATAATGCTCTGTGTTTCACATACTGTTGGAAAACACTATTTCTATAAGTATCGTAAATATGGGTAAGCCATCGATGCAGTGCTTTAATTGACTGTAGTATAAAGTATAGGTTGTCAGTCTAAGTATAGGCATTAAGAAAGATGGTTGTTTACCGAAGTATGCGGAAAAGTACAGGAGTAAATTAGTTATAGGTAAGGTAATGAGTGGCGAAATAAAATTAATGGTAAGTCAACATAGTGTACATGAGAGCAGAGAGTTGATGAAGAATAGACAAGAAGGAACTCCCATTGCCTTCGTGCTGATGTCGTCTTGTGCTATGTTAACCGGTCGACGGGTTACAGGCTCCATGGATGCAAGAACACTGGTAGTAGGGAGTCGATCGTGCAGTTCTTTTGACCTTTTAGAGTAATAGTGAGCGTCCCTTAGCTACTGAGTTTACTTGAGCAGTATGGATAGGTTCAGTGAGTTACCTCCCCACTTCAGGGAAAATTATCTAATACAACTGCAAAGTAGAAAAGTAAGGCAAATTGAACTCAGGGTCTTATTTAATCTATACATGTAGAGAGTGTATGACATTTGAGTGTGACGCGGATGTATTCGGTCATCCTAGATCAGTGCAAACCAAAGCCTGATCAAGAAGTCTTACAAACGTATATAATTCATCTGCCATGAGTATGTCAAAAGAAAGTATGTTTCGTATTAATGCATAATTGATGAGGAAGTCGTTTTCCCGAGTTTTTGATCTGTATTTCTCAACTTTGACTGTGGATGCTTTGTCTCGAAGGTCGTATTCATGCGAGTCTAGAGAAGTACTATATTACACATGGAGTAAATAGGGTTTTTGAGTAGTTTGAAGTAGAGAATCAAATTGAACTTAAGCCTTCTCTTCCGAAAGGGTTCTGGTCCCAGGACATGGCATCGGAAACTGGGGCCAGTGAGTGAGTCTGTTTTGAGTATTTTACACATTTAATCTCCTTGTATTCCTTCCGTCTCAAGTATATCGGTAGGCGTAAGTTGGAAAATGAGAACGAACATTATTCAACAATAGGTCTCACACTTATCTTGTAAAGAATAATGTAAGCAGTGTATTTCCAGGTCACTTACTGATGTGAGTTTGGGCAGTTCGTTCTTGTTAAGTGTTAGTTTTATTTTAAGAGTCGTGTCCCCAATACATAGCCAGCCGCATTTCTCTGTGTTAGGCTCCAAACTCCAGCGCTTGTACCAGTTTTCTACTTTGTTAAGTCCATGTTAGGTTGTTTGCATAGTACTACGTAAATAGCAAATGTTAGTAAATAGATGACTTTTAAGTCATCAGTGTAAAGGTGGGTCTTACCTGTGTTAAAGCACTTGTATATACTGTTGATTTAGATTGTAAAAAGTAATGGGCACAAGACATTACCCTTCACAACGCCACTGGATATTGATCGAGGTGTAGATGTCATAAATTCAATTTCATTTATTCAGTATCCGTTTGTGAGAAGAGACTTGATCCACTGCAATAGGGGGTTTGCTATTCTAATTGACTAAAGTCTGTTGATTAGAAGGTTATGAGGTATTTTATCATAAGCTTTCTTAATATCGAAATGTAGTATAACCACTAATTTCTTCTGGTCACACATGAGAGTAACCTCCTTAAAAAAGTCTATCAATCATGTACTGCATGATCTTTTCTTATGAAGCCGAGTTGAGACGGGTCTATTATATATTCCTTAAGTAGGTGATAAGGTAGTTGATTTTGTACCATATTTTCTATTATGCGTGATATAACTGGAATAATGTTTATAGGTCTGTAATTTTCAACCAGGTTATACACGCGAAAGTGATTCCTAACAAACGATATTATGGCCCCCCCTGCTTAGATTTATAACCCTAGGACTTTTTATACAGATGTGTCGTATAATAATTAGGGAACAAGCCACATCTACAGTAAACCATGTTTATGACAGCATTGAGATCGTGACTTAATTCTTTTTTTCCACGTTGCTTTCGAATTCTTAAGTCAGTAAGAGAATTGTTCCACTTCATTCGATTCTGAAGTAACCAGTCTGGCAGGATTCGAATATTCTGGTGAAGAAGGTTTTTATGCGTTATTCAGTATGATGTCCTTTTTTCTCTACTTCCGAGAACTCACTTCAGTATTTTGTTTGTTTGGGTCTCTCCCGAAAACATTTAGTGAATCACATTACTTTAGTAATGTATGTACACACAGACTCTTTTTGCACTGCATTCGTAGTAGTAGATTCCATCAACGTCAGATCATTGGCATGATATTCAGCAAGTTTATTTTCTTTTGACATTAGCAGGCTCTAAATAATTGAACTTGAGACGTACTTGATTTCTTCACAAGTCGTGTCTATAGCATTCGATCGCGCTGTTATTATTACCACCAATATATACCGAGAGCTCTTATTTAATTGTTCCTTTGCTTTTAATACTCCCTCATCTGCGTTGTTCGACTTGTCTTTCGAGGGAGTTTTGCTCCCCTCATATCGTACAGTATAATTCGCTTTATAAGCAGTGTTTAGAATGAATCAAATTTCAGTCAGTGGCAAATTACTCGTACTGACATTGCGAGACTTATTAAGATCATGCATACTAATAGTTCACACAGACCTCCTCTTTTCTTTAAGAGTGCTGACAAAA